AAAAAAATTGTAGTAGTTAAAGTGAGAACATGTGAAGGAGATTCTGGAAATTAGCTGATGCTAATTTCCAATCTGTGAGGTGAGTAGCTTATAAGTTTAAGCATTTCCCAGAAAAAAGAGGGCACACTTTTTTATATGTGCACAATCTAGATGGCTAGATAATGGCATTTTCTTTTCTTTGTTTTTTAAGTATGAAACCAAACACCAGTTAAGCTATGGTTTGAGCTGTTGAGCCCCAAGTTTTCACTTCTGTGGCGTGGAACAGAATTTCCACCTGAATGTGCACCTCAGAGGTGAGGTGGGTTCACATGGTACCTGCAGAGGCCTGTCCCCGTCTTGTCCGATCATGTTTCTCCATTCCATGAGTGAGCGCTGCAGATGTTCGAGTCCAGTCTCCCACAGCCTGACGCAACCTCCCATGTCCACAGTGACCACACCGCCTTTGCCCCACTCGGCCAGCAGAGCATCTGTGTCTGAGATAGAAGACAGCCACGAGGTGTATGGCGAGAGAGACTCCGACCTGAAGGAAGGTCAAGTGAACAGAACGAGCCTTAAGATAAAGCAGGACGGCTGACACTTAACCGTTGTTATAACGCTTACTGTCTAACACCTATTTGCCTTTACAAACTTTTGGGAGTAAACGGAAGTTTACAAATTATATTGGTGTTTTTCATCCTGTCAGGCATACACATTTTGTTTTACAACCTTAATTAGAATTGACAAGTGTAATTAGCTAATTATAATATCAGACCAACCCTCCATCCCTTCACATGGCTTTGTTGCTGTTATTATGTGCCATCAAGTCGTTTGCGACTCATAGCGACCCTATGTACAACAGCCCTAAACCCTGCTCTATCCTGCGCCAATCTCATTGCCTCTGACACACCCATCCCGATTACCCCAGTCACTGAATTAATCCATCTCATAGAGGGTCTTCCCCTCCTGCACTGTCCTTCCACCCTCCCAAATGGTATTGCCAAATGTTTTTTCCCTGTCAGTGGGTTTTCTTTTCACTCTGTTGAAAAAAGGTTTTGATGTACACAGGGATTTAATATTTAGAAGTTCTCAGTCATCAATTTTATCCTCTCCAGATTGTACATTTCTAGCTGTATTTGGCAGTTTCTTTATACCATAGACTAGGCTGTCTAAATTTGATCATAGTTTGTCTCTGATGAACTTTATGGTTTGGGGCTTGACTCTCAGATCTCTGATCCACCTTGAGTTGATTTTTGTGTAGCTGTATTCTTTTTTATGGCATTGCTAATTCTTTTGTTTCATCTCCTTTACTCTGCTAAGTTCATTTTGTTTATGACTTTTCTC